TTTTTTTCTTTAAAAACATTTTTTTTGAGACAGGGTTTCATTATGTTACCCAGGCTGAAGTGCAATGATGTGATCTTAGCTTACTGCAGCCTCCACTTCCCAGGCTCAAGCCATCCTCCCACTTCAGTCTCCCAAGTAGCTGGGACTACAGGCGTGCACCGCCGCACCTGGCTAAATGTTGTATTTTTTGTAAAGATGGAGTTTTGCCATGTTGCCCAGGTTGGTCTCCAGTGCTCAAGTGATTAGCCTCCCAAAGTGCTGGGATTATAGAGGTGCCCCACTGCCCAGCCTCAAACCAGTTTGTATGTTCATTTTTCCAGCTGAGAATTCCCAGACTGTGCTTGTAGTATTAAGTCAATATCAAGCCTATGGAAGCTATAGCCTGAGTATTGAATATTCATTCCTAAGAAAACCTGGTTTTTTCTCCCTCACAACAGGAGACAGACAAGGCATTGTGTTGTGCTTTTGTGCCCATAGATGAAAATTTTCTGACCCATCTTTCTACTTTTGTGGTTCTCAGCTTTATACAAGGATCTGAATGCCACATCCATTTCACATGGGTCAAGACCCTGCCTTCTGCCCCTTTAAGGATCGTCAAACTAATCACTTTTAAGGGTCTTCAAACCAATCTCCTAGGTTAGAGGGATGAGTACCTCTCCCATTACCTTTAGAACAATAAGGAACCAGCCCATAAGCTTACTGTTACTTTTGCAATTCCTTTCCATTTTGGGCTTCTAGAGATTTGCATTTTATTCTCATGAGTTATACAACTAGCCCAGCATTTCTGGGTGTTCGTCGTAGGAAGATTTTCATATTATCTTGTCTGTCTGTCATATTGCTGGAACTATAGTGTTTAATCCTAGACTCAAATCTGAGGATATATCATATTTGAAAATTAAATCATTGGTGTGGCTGGGCATGGTAACTCATGCCTATAGTCCCAACATTTTGGGAGGCTGAGGCTGGAGGATTGCTTGAGCCCAGGAGTTTGAGAACCAGCCTGGGCAACATAGCAAGACCCCACCTCTATAAAATGAAATAAAATAGAAAAAATAAAATAGCTGGGCACAGTGGTACGCACTTGTAACTCCAGCTAATCAAGAAGCTGAGGTGGGAGAATTGCTCGAGCCTAGAAGTTGAGGTTATAGTAAGCTAAGACTGTGCACTCCAGCCTGAGCAACAGAGCGAAACTTTGTCTCAAAACAAAACAAAACAAGCCAACAAGAAAAAAAGAAACAGAAATTATAGGTGTATTTGGTAGCCAAAGATCTCATGACTAGTTGCTTTAATCTCTCTTTTGCAATAGTCTCAAGTCCTTTGCCCTATTTCATTCCTGACAAAACTCCAACACATATCTTGCCTTTGAATTTAGCTTTCTGCTGTTTTCTGAACTTACACCTATACAGCAGAGCAACACTGGAGGGAAAAACCCTACAACCATGCAGATTGATGCCACTCCATATTCATGGTCCTGCTTTCTACCAAAACTCTAATGCTGCTCTACAATCCTGGTTTACTTTATGAGTCACCTCTCCCATCCCACAACTATTTTAGAACTCACTTCATCCCCACTCACTTCCCTGACCTTTAACAAAAATGTTTTCAAAAGATAACCCTAATTTCTCTTTCCTAAAGGAAATAGAGACCATGAGAACATAATCTTCTCAAATTCCACCCACCAAACTTATGAATTGGTTTATACTGAAAGCACCCCTCTTCTCTTTTCTTCCTACTGCAGAAGGACATTCTGTCTTCCTGTCTAAGGAGAGTGACCATATTATTTATTGCGGAAGCTTGGATACTTCTGAAAGTAAAAGAGAGACTCTATTAATAATGATTCCAGGACAACAGGTGTAAACCAGAACTGTCCCGGGAAAACTGGAACATGTAGTCACCCTCTGTATACTGTTTATCATTCCTCTGGGCCCCCGAATACAACCCTTGTGCCTTCTCCAGTACCACATTCCCTTGAATATTTTCTTCTCTTATGTATGTTCAAATTTTCCTTCTCTCCAAGCTCAGTCTCATTAATATTTTAACATTTAATTTTTTTTAACGTTTCAATCTTTTGCAAGGAGAAACCTTGCAATGCAACATGACCTGCATACCGAACATAGCTCCAGCTACTGCTCCCTTTTTTGACTCCTCTTCTTTCTCTGACAAATTTATGGACAAATTTGTCAGTACCTCCTGTCTCTTTTTTTCAGCTCCCAACCTCTCCTTCATTTTCAGAATTCTGGCTTTTCACCTCATTTTCATCTAGATACTTCTCTTGACAATGTCACATAGACTATCTCATTCTTTAATCGAACAGACAATATTCAGTCTTACTCAAATTCTTAGGCACAGCTATCTTTGCAGCCTTGTGTAAGTTAGCTATCTTCTCTATTCCTCTGTTTCCTAAAATGGCATAATATGGGCCCTTGTCACAGAATTTTTGTGAGAATTAAACAAGATAATCCACATAAAATGTTTAGCATCAATGGCATCTTTTAAAATGTTAGCTTTCCCATTGGACATCCTTTCAGAAAGACATCCATGCTGCATCATGCTTGAGTGAGACGGTTCCATCACTAATTCTGTAGGTCACTGTTTGAACATTTTAAGGCAAGATCAAAGTATAGGATACTTTTACATTGCCATTGCAGAGATCCAGCAGTCTGAAAATGGCAGTCTAGAAAGGGAGCTTTACTTCCAGGTGGTAGACTGTTTCTTTCATGTTTGTTACAACACAGATTTAGTTAGCCCATTGCACTTAATCCATGGCCTGGCATGTTTATATTTATTAGTGGCTATCAATGACAAAACCCTATCTTTTACTGGATGCCAGTCTGTGATAAGTGTAGCCCAGCATCAAATGGCACCACAGAGTTCTTATTCGATGTAGCCATTGCATAACTAATTTGCAGAGTTACAACTTGATACATATATATGCTCATCTGTCCCAACTGACCATGGCCCAGCCTCATCATCTTCAGCCCTCATCATTGCCAAACTAGCAGGCATCTGCAGGTACTTGTGAGGTTTCTCCAGCCATTTCTCAGTTGCTTTTTTTTTTAAAAAAAAAAAAACTTGTTCTGAGTTGTAGGTTCAGTTAGCCCTATCTCTAAATAGGTCACATCTCCATTATACCTTAGAGCTTCCAGAACCAAAATAAATTTGTTAGAATTTTATGTTTTAATCATAAAAATAACTATATTAGATGTCCCTTATTAAATGCTTATTATGTACCAACAATTCTGCTAAGTATGTCACACATTTTGGCTATTTTAATAGGGATTAAGATGAGGGTAGAAATAGACATGTGTGCTAAAATCATCTAACCTACTGTTAGAGTAACTTTACATGATGTTATGAGCTCTCAGCACTAGCAAATTTAATAAAATTTCTAGCTTATATTAACTTTTAAAGCACTAAGAATGACCATTTAAAGATTAGGAAAAAAGAGGCAGTATTCAGCGTTGCTGAAAGGCATGATACAAAATTAAATGGTAATACAAAACCAAACTGTATAACTCCAACTAATGGGGATTGGTGATAATTTTCTCTAGGCTGAAGCTAAAGCAATTTGTTTTATACCTATGAAGCTAGTGACCTAAATGATCAGTATTACATATTATAATACAGAAGGCTTATTTGTGATATTTTAAAGAGAAAAACTCTTTGTGATATTTTATACAAACGGATAGCATTAATTCTCCTTTATTCCTTAGATCTAGAACAAGAAAACACTGGATCTACTAGGCAGACAGATAGTCAGTGAGTCTGAATGTGTGTCTGAGTGGGTTTGTAGGTTTATTTAGTTTTTACTGAATAAATCACATCAACTGGGTTTTGAATACTAAGAGCAATTGGTATAATGACATAGTAAGGATGTTACTTCTATGAGAGGCAAATGTGGGAAACGAGATCATCAAAGCTGAGAGAGAAAGGCCCGTCAAGGAAATAAAAATAATCTTAAAGGAGCTAATAGAAAACTATATGAGCGAGAAGGAAAATATGCAGAAAAAGATAGATTTTAGCCTATGGAAAGTAGGATGGAATCAAAGCAAAATATGGAAAACTCTTGAAGTCTTTCCTGATTGCACTGTAATTTGTGCCAGTATGTGATACTGTAACACTTATCAATCAGATAAGAGAAAAGCAGAAAAATAGATGATAGTTCTTATAGCCAACATTTATTGAGGGTGCACAAAGGACGAGACTCTCTGCTCACTATTAACACCCAACTTCATGAAATAGAGCAAACCCCACTTAACAGATGAGAAAGCTAGGAGCCAAAGATGTTAATTCTCTGGCATACAATGGGAAGAGCTAGGAAGGGTTTGTACTCAGTTTACTCATCTAGTACAGGTGTGCTGGCACTTCTCTTTTTAAGCAAAATGTGGTGCAATTTTAGGTCAAGAAGGATCCGACTAACAAGTGAATATAACACCTAGACCTATTTGAATTCTGATTTCTCAGTGAAGATGTTTCACACGGAGTTATTGAATTAGCTGATTAAAAAATATTTTCAGAAAGAAACTAAAAAGTATTTTGGCTTTATAATTTGAATGAATTTTTTTTCAAGCTTTATGATAGAGTACTATCTGAAAATAGCTACTTCCCCCCATCGCATCTTTTTAAAGTTGTTCTATATGATGAAAAATATTATAATTACTGTGCCCAAATTTATAAATGAGGGAAGAATTGTCTAAACCAGGAAGATGTTCTAAAATGGGTTTCCATTATTTTACTGTTACAGTGAATTTAGTCTGTTTTGGTAAAAATTACCAGTGATTGTGAGTAAACAATAGAATATGACTTTTTATACTAGTGAAAATTTCTTTTTTCAGTTTTTCTTTTCTGTTATCATAGGCTTGACCTTATGGCCTAATATCTGAGACAATTGAGGGAACTGGGTTGCCCACATCTCTTCTCTCCCAAGCCCCAGTGCAGCCTTCACAGTAGACTGAGAGGTCCCTGGTCACACTGTGAGGGGAAGGAATGCAGCTCCTTACCCTCAACTTCCAGCTTCACCACTTTGGAATATGCTGTCCCAAGGCTGTTTTTCGCCACACAACGATACTGTCCTGCATCTTCCTTTTGTACATTATGAATCCTCAAGCTCCCAGATTCAAGAACTGCAATTCGGGAGTTTTCCTGCCAGAGAGAGGGACGTGAATTCAAAAATGTTTATGTGTCTATCAAGAATACATTTGGTAAATATCATCAGCTTATTGTCGTCACTATTATCATCAAAGATATCACTTTGACCTTTATTAGGCATTTATTATGTAAAACACATAATATTGAATGAAATGATGCAGGAGTACCTAAACTAATCTTCACCAGGATCCTATGAGGTATAGTTTATTTTTATTTTCTTTCGTCACATGAGTGTATAGATAAGGGCTTATTTCACTTCCCTGAAGTCACAGCTAAGGCTGATGAAAGGCAATGCTTTAGAAGGGAGGGATGTTGCAGATGGGGGTGATGAGAGATACAAAACTACATACTGAGTATAATGTACAGTACTCAGGTGAAGGGTGCACTGAAATCTCAGACTTGGCCACTATACAGTTCATTCTTGTAACCAAAAACCACTAGTACCCCAAAAGCTATTGAAATAAAGATAAATAAATAAACACATTGCTTTTAACCATAGGGTCTACCTCACACCCTGTATGGTATTTTAGGAGAATACTTGTCCTTTGAAATACTAGAAAAGTTCACATATGATATTAAAATTTCTCTTTGGAGTTTAAATATTACATCTGTCTTTTCTGTTTTGGACCCTAAATTCACTAACGTAAGTACAACCACCTTTGTTTGTCATTGTAGGAAAAGCACCAAGATTTATAACAAAAGGAAAGCCAGAGAGTTAGGTAATCATTATAAATTAGCAATACTTATTTTATTTTAAATAAAGCAAAGCTGAGCAATTTTATACCTTAGTTCAGCTAATTGACATATAGTGACACCTTTGAATTCCCCATGGAATACACTGTGTATTGTTAAATGAAAAACATAGTTTGTGATCTCTTAAGTGATACAAAGATAGAAAGACAATAATGATGCCGTATGATAATTTATCACTAAATGTGGGGATAAGATACAGAGACAGTACAAAATAAGCATATAGATAATAACTTTTTTTTTCTTTTTTTTGAGATTGAATTTCACTCTGTTGCCCAGGCTGGAGTGTGTGGTGTGATTTTGACTCACTGCAACCTTTGCCTCATGGGTTCAAATGAGTCTCCTGCCTCAGCCTCCTGAGTAGCTAGGATTACAGGTGCACGCCACCATGCCAGGCTAATTTTTGTATTTTTAGTAGAGACGGGGTTTCGCCATGTTGGCTAGGCTGGTCTTGCACTCCTGACCTCAGGTGATCCACCCTCCTTGGCATCCCGAAGTGCTGGGATTACAAGTGTGACTACTCATTGTGACTCAGGAGGGATTTGCCAAGGTACTTGTGTATAAGTCTTGAGTCTTTTTGCCTAACTTCTCTCCGGTGCTCTCATTTATTTTCTTCCAAACCTTGTTTCCATCCCTCCTTCCAGAACCTGTCAGTTTTAAAGCCTGAGTCTTAGTTTCTCTTTTTCATCCTCTGAGTCCCAGGTTCAACATTAAAAAAATAAATGATTTAACCAGCCAACAAATACAAAAAAATTCCAGGTTTGCTTTTGCATTGCCTCCTTTTCTATCTTTAACATTACTGGTTCCCATCTCCTTTTTCCCTAGCCAGACCCAAGTGAAATGCTATACAGTTTGCATATATGCAAACAGAAATACTTAAATTGGTTAAAATGTATATGGAAACGATTTTATATTAGAAGTTTGTAAGTGTGTAACTGAGTGTGCAAAGAAATGTTACATTTTAAAATACATTTTATATACAAGTTTTAACATGATAACCACTTACCCTGAGAGGGCTGTCTCCCTTTATCCAAGACACTGATGGTTTGGGATTGCCCATTGTCGTACATGGTAGGACTGCTTTTAATCCCTCTATTATTTTCACGTTTATGGGAGGACGAGTTATTTTAGGTTCTAAAAAGAAATGAAAATTCAAAACAAACAAGGCAATATGGGTTGATGAAACCTAGAGTTTCTAACTTTCAATTTAATTCTAAATATCTGCTTTAAGAATCGTTTGAGGCATGTTACATTACAAAATTCACCAAATGCTAAGACACTTTTTTTCTGTATATCTCAAACAGAAATCAGTTTAGAAACACTTGATTGTCTCTGCTTTATTAGAATCTTACTAACAAAACAAAAATTTATGAAAAATATTAATAGTGTTAAGTTACCATAGCATTCATCATTTTAAAAGATAGTTAATAAAAGTTGATTAACAAAGGCTGTCATCATAGCAATTCAACATTATTTAATTTATACTGATAGACATAACATTTGAAAAAAATTTATATAGATATAAATATATTCTTATATAGTTATAAATTATGACCTATTTTCCCTTTAGCTTCCATCTTAATTTGACTATTAAATTTGATGTTTATTAAGTACATTCATTCTCTAGAAAGTAAACCAGGTATTATTATATTAGAAATTAGAAGAAATTCTGTCATACGATTTGGGGCTTAATTATGTAAAGCATATTATGCTTAATTATGTAATTTACTGTTCAAACACTCAAGTAAATCTTTCAGAAGAAATAGTTTACGTCAGCTAATTTTTATTCTCCAGTATGAAACTTTCAAAGAAAATTATTACATCTAATAAACAAAATAATTTATAAGTTCAGGATACCAGTTATTTTAGTACTATTCATAAAATAGTTAAAACTATATTTATGTCCATAGGAATTTTACATTACAGATACAGAGGGGGACTTGGCAGGAGAGACTGCTGAGAAATTGACACATTTTATTTCTTCCAGGACGTGTGCCATAACCAATTTATTATTTTGACAAAGGAAAGCATGAAATAAGGACTTTTTTTTTTTTCTTTCTACTTCGATGTGTGGGAGAGGAGTGGGGACTTTGGTGTTGGTAGTAAGAGATATTTGCAAGCCTTCATGACCTGTTGGGTTTTAATCTAAGCATTCACTGCCATTTATCTCCTGTGGCCCTGTGTTATAGCAAAATTACAAGAAAGACTTTAAAACATATTATAGGCAAATAACAACTTTATCACTTTGCCTGCTATCTATAGCATACAACTCTCCTTCTAATAAACTGTAAATACCTACATTTAGATACAGCACTGGCCAGGTCCCTCAATTGTGAGTTGTATTGTCATACAGTTGCTGGCAGAAACTTAGAACTTGATATTCCTATGACAGTCAACAAAAGCATTATCTATGCCTTCCATGGGTTTCCTAAACAAGATCTCTATGGTAAACCTGAGGCACAGATAATGTCTTAGGTAAAGGCCTTTGGTTAAAGCAAAAATCTCCTGTCTTCTCAGTGCCATGATATCTTAATCATCTGTTAGGTGAGAGGTGAGGAATTCCCATTTAGGAAATTGAATATAAAGTCAACTAGGAATGACTAGAGTATTGATGCATAGCCATAAATACCCACTGTAAGGGAACATGATTCAGGGTGGAGCCGTAAGTACTGACCAATCAGAACTGGTTATCTTAAAGCAGGATGCTGGAAGGATCCTGCTGTGCCAACATTGAGACTTTAGCTGATGGACCATTAGGAATTTAGGGGAGGGAGCTCTTGAGGGAGGGCTTAAGAGACCTCGAGTAGTGACAGTGGTTGGGGGATATTTGGAGCCTTGTGAAGCAGGTTTTTCCAAGAAGTATGGAAGCATTCCAAAATGTTAGCAATTTGAACAGCCACACCAGTGTATATCCACATGAATGGATGAGATCTCCAAAGGAGAGGTTGGAAAAAAGAAGATAAGAAAAGGCGCTTTAATGTAGAACACAAATCAAGAACATTTGGGCCAGAGAAAATATGCAAAACATTCAAAAGAAAGGCAGTGTCACAAAGTAGTGAAATAATTGAATGTGTTTCATCCTCAGAATCAAGTCTTTATTATTCAGCAAATGAGAGCATTCCAACTTCCTTATTTGATTTCTTACTGCTCTGCCTATTGAAGGGAAGCCTGCATATAGGCAGATCCCTACCTATTTACACACATTAAGTGCCGAATCAGTATTCCTGCTGTTCCTACCAGCTTCTTATCCTAATTAACTGAAGACTCCATGTATATTTATGACCAAAAAATAAAAGATCTATTTGAGAAAAATTGTAAACATAAAAGGATAGAACCAAAACAAATCATTTTTTTTTGAAGAAAATAAAAGTAAAGCAGGGGGAAAAAAAAGAAAATGTCTTTAAAAAAGATGCACTAGTGATAGCCTTAGAAGTTTAAATAAATATTGTATCACACAAGTGAGTTTGTTATGAAAAAAAGAGCCATCAAGGAAATTCTTAGAAATTAAAAATATAGTTTTTAAGACCAAAACACCCAGAATGACAGAATAGTCGTACTGGAGACCACATTGATGATATGAAGGAAAAGTTAAAGGAATCTTCAAGAGAGTAGAATATCAAGGCATGCAGAAAATATGAGAAGAAAAATTTGAAGTCATAGAGAAATAAAAGAGAAAAAATACTAAAGAAAATGTACCTGATTTTCAAAAAAGCTTTGGTTTTTAGATCAAAAAGGCCCACCTATGCTGGTGCATGGCTCACTCCTATAATCTCAATACTTTGGGAGGCCAAGGTGGGAGGATCTTTTGAGCACAGGAGTATAAGACCAGCCGATGCAACATAGTGAGAACTTATCTCTTCTAAAAAAAAAAAAAAAATAGCTGGGCATCATGGCTCATGCCTGTATTCTCAGCTACTTGGAAGGCTGAAGCAGGAGGATTGCTTAAGCCTGGATAGTCAAGGCTGCAGTGAGCCATGATCACACTACTGCACTACAGCCTGGGTTACAGAGTGAGACCTTGTCTTAAAAAAGAAAAAGAAAAAAAAAAAAAAAGACTCACCTAAAACTGAGTAGAAATAATTTTTAAAAATACACCTAACATATTCTTGTCAGTTTGTGAAATTTATGAACTCTAGAAATAAAAAGAAAAATCCTAAAATTTTTGAGCGAGATATCAGATTTACTTGTAAAGAAATAAGAAAAAGACTTCTCATCTGCAACAGTGGATTGTCTACTAAAACTAAAGGGAAAAACTTTTAAAACTCTGATTCTACACCCAGAAAAATTGTTATCCAAGAATGCGAGTGAAGTAAATAATTCAGCCATGGAAAAATTCAGAAAATACCTTACATCTTCACACTCTGAAGAAAGTACCTAATGATTTCCTCCTCCAGCAAAATTACAAAAGATAAAAGGTGATGATGAAAGAAAAATAAAGGTCCCAGGTAGAACTAAATTCCTCTAATTTGTGTGTTGCCAGTATGTATGGTTATAAGATATTTTCCCATGAGTAATGTGTCAGAGAAGAGAAGATGAAGGTTACATCACTGTAAGATTGACAGTTTGCAAGTAGCAGTTACTTGCAGGATAGGAAATCATGAGATTTAAAGATGCTGGTAAGACAGTGTTTGATGATACACCACCAGGTAGAAGAGAGAACTAAGCATAGAAGGAAATAAAAGCCCAATTGGGGAGACAACGGAAAGGAGAACAGAGAGGAATCAAGGGAAGAGAACATGATGATGCTGGTGATGTTGATGTTGTATAGCAAGAGTAAGAGAATGAGGGAGACTGAGATGTTGTTAGCTGAGAAGGTGACAATAGAACTTTGTGCCCACAAACTCTATTTGGAAGCAAGCCATGAGTATGGGAAACTGTTTATCTCATCTGACAAGACTGGTACATTCTGCAGATGTACCCCTGAACTCAAAATAAAAGTTAAAAATAGAAAATCAAACCACATTTCCTCATAGTGGGAGACTCACCTAAACTACTACTATATATGCATATACATAGAGATTAATAGCATGGACCTTAAAATTGAAAAAAAAAAAAAAAAAAAAAGACAAACATCACTGGATTTGTGGAGTTCAAGGAATTGTGAGAATTAAGTGGCTAGTCATTCTATTTCATGGCCGTTAAAATTTCTTAGGGTGATTGCAGGAGTAGAGTTAGATAGAAGACACTAAACCTGGAATCAGAGTCTTCAATAAGTATGGGGGAGTTCCTGGAAGAGCAGATGACATAATGAATAGAATTAGAGGAAAGATAGGTCAAAATGGCATAAGCCCTCATGAGAGGAAAGATTTTGCATAGGAATACAAAATAGAATGGCTTAAAAGCAGCAATGAGGGCAGGGAGATTACCTATTAGTGTTTGATAGCCTTGTAGACATGAAGTGGGGAAAACAGAACAGCTTCCATTGAAGCAGAAAATCACTCAGAAGAATATCAAATTTGAAATAAGGCAAAAGGGTAGAAGTGTCTACAAAGAGGTTGGAAATAAAAAGAATGTCCGACTGTGTTTCACAGGTGTTGGGTAAAGGCTTTAGAAGAAAGTTTCACAGTGAAAGAATTCAGGGTGGAAGAAGTCAGGAGATGTGTGAAGTCAAGAAAATGGGAGAGGAGAGAGAATTGAGAGGCTTGCCTTAGGGTAGTGGTTGATGGCAGACATAAGAGGTGTGCAGTTAACTGGCCTCAAGTTTATGCTTTGAACTTGAACTTTTCTCATTGCTGAATTGCCAGGCCTGAGAAAACCTCTATTTACGATTTTAAAGTATACCAAGTCAGGCTGGGCGTGGTGGCTCATGCCTGTAATCCCAGTATATTGGGAGTCCAAAATGGGTAGATCAACAAGGTCAGGAGATCTGTACCAGCCTGGCTAACACGGTGAAACCCCATCTCTACTAAAAATCCAAAAATCTAACTGGGCGTGGTAGCATGCACCTGTCGTCCCAGCAACTCAGGAGGCTGAGGCAGGAGAATTGCTTGAACCCAGAAGGCGGAGGTTGCGGTGAAGATCGCACCACTGCACTTTAGCCTGGGTGACAGAGTGAGACTCTGTCTCAAATAAATAAATAAATAATAAATAAAGTGTACCAAGTCAACTTTCAGATCAATAGACAAATCTCTTTCCCACTCACTCATCTTCACTTGCAGGGCTCCACAACTCTCCACAGCTCCTCCCACACCATTGTTGGCTGTGCAGCAGTAAATGCCATCATCACTATCTTCCACACTCAGGATGGTGAGGAGCTGACCATTCTCCCGGATGCTGTACCGGGTGTCAAAGAGCCTGCAGGTCACAGAGAAAAATGACAGATTAGTGCTTCATCTGTGATTTTTCGGCTATGATTCATTTATCAAACTGATGACTTGTCAATGAGGAAGTAGAATAAAGGGGAGAGGAAACTTGAGTGAGTTCTGAATAATAGGATAACCATACTTGGTAGTATAAAGCTAACATTATATTCTAATCTTTCCTAGGCTCCAATAGTGAAAGTACCACAGTCCATCAAAAATGCTTTCAAAGGGTGTTGTCTACTGATAAGACAAAATTTAAAGTTTACTTAATTCAGGAAAGCATATCAAACCAAGATATAGGTGTCTTGTCCCCATAATTTCTCGGAAGTAGTAGCTATTAATAGATAATGAAAATGCACATGTATAAATGATGAACAGAAAGGGTTAATTATTTATTGGATTAACTAATGATTAGTTGAATATTCATTCTTTCATTAAACAATTATTTATTGAATGCTAACAAGTGCCAGGCACAGTTCTAGTTACTTGGGATCATAAGGAAGCAAAACAACTTCCAACTATAAAAATATATGCTTTACATATATTATCTATTTAATTATATGCAAACCATTTGTTGAGAAGAAAATTAGGGCAACAAAAAGATATTTGAAGAGAAGCATCAATATAAAAGAGAGTTTCTTTTAACCAAATAAGATTTTTTTGTGTGTGATTATATTTTTTAATTGCATTTTATATTTTAGGGTACATGTGAAGAACATGCAAGATTGTTGCATAGGTACACACATGGCAGTGTGATTTGCTGCCTTCCTCTCCATCACCTATATCTGGCATTTCTCCCCATGCTATCTCTCCTCAACTCCCCACCCCCTGCTGTCCCTCCCCTATTTCCCCCTGACAGGCCCGAGTGCCAAATAAGATTTTTTTTTTTATGACAAATGTGTGTGGTAAGCAGAATAACAGTCCCTCAAAGGTCCTTGTCTTAATCGCTAAAATCTGTCAATATGTCATCTTATTTTGCAAATGTTAAGAATCTTAAAATGTGGTGTTCTGGACTATTCAAATGGGCCCTATGTAATAATAAGTATCCTTAAAAAAATGGAAGAGGGAGGCAGATTGATAAAACGAGGAATGAAAACGGAGGGAGAGGTCAGCGTGGTGCCACTGCTAGTGTTATAAATGAAGGAGAGGCCAGGGGATGCAGGTAGCCTCTAGAAGCTGAGAGAGACAAGAAATCAGATTCTTCCCTTGAGCTTCCAGAAGGAACTCAGCCCTGCCAACACTTTGATTTTAGCCCAGAGAGATTTATTTCATACTTGTGACCTCCAGAACTATAACATAGTACCTTTATGTTGTTTTACGCCACTAAGTTTGTGGTAATTTGTTACAGCAAGAATAGGAAATAAATACAGATTTGGGTACCTGGAAGTGTGGTGCTGCTGCAACAAATCCCAAAAAATGTGGATGTTGCTTTGCAATTGAGTAGTAGGTAGAACTGAAAAAAATTTGAAAAGCATGCTAGAAAAAGCCTACATTTCCTCAAAGAGACTATTAATAAAAATACGCATGTTAGTAATTCTGCTCCTGAGGACGTGGAAGGAAGAGAGTTACATGGCAGAGAAAATCTAAATCATCTTAAAGAACACCTAAGTTATCATGAACAGACTGTTGGTAGAAATATGTATGTTCAAAGCACTACTGATGAGGACTTGGGTGAAAATAAGGAGCATATTACTAGGAAAGGAAGAAAAGGGGATCCTTGTTATGTAGGACAGGGAGCTTAGCTGAATGGTGTCCTGCAGTTATGTGGAAAACAAAGCTTATAAATGGTGATATCAGATATTTAGCTAAAGAAGTTTCTAAGCAATGTGTTGAAGGTGTGGCCTCATTTATTTTTGCTGCTTCTAGTAAAATTCAAGAGGAAAAAGATAAGTGGACAGAAAACCTGTTAAGCAAAAAAGGAACCAGGACTTGATGATTTGGGATTATCAGCCTATCCAGATTGCACAAAATACTAGCAAACCAAATTCGACAATACTTTGGAAAGAACATCTCTCATGGCTAAGCGGAATTTATCCCTGGGATACAGGAATAGTTCAACATATGCAAATTAATCAATGTTCTGCATCATGTAAACAGATGAAGGGTAAAAACCATAGGATTATTTCAATATATGCTGAAAAAGCATTTGATAAAAATTCAACATCTTTTCATGATTTAAAAAAAACCCTCAAAAACAGAAGGAAAATGCCTCAAAATAATAAAAGCCATGTATGACAGACACACAGCTAGTATCATACTGAATGAGGAAAAACTGAAAGCCTTTCCTGTAATCTGGAATGCAACAAGGATGCCCACTGTCACCGGTGTTACTCAACACAGTACTGGAAGTCCTACCTAGAGCAATCGGACAAGAGAGAAATATAAAGGGCCAGCCAAACTGGAAGGGAAGAATTATATTTGTTTGCAGATTTTATGCTCTTATATTTGGAAAAACCTAAAGATTACACAGAAAACTGTTAGAACTGATATTCTGTGAAGTGTCAGGATACAAAATCAACATACAAAAATCAGTAACATTTATATATGCCAACAATGAACAATATGAAAAAGAAATTTTAAAAGTAATCTTATTTACAATAGCCACATATAAAATTAAATAGCTAGGAATTAAATAAGTCAAATATCTCTATAATGAAAGCTACAAAACACTGATGAAAGAAATTGATGAGGATACCAAAAAAAAAAAAATAGGAATCATATTAATGGATTGGAAATCAGTATTGTTAAAAAGTTCATATTATCCAAAGCAATCTACATATTCAGTGCAATTCCTATCAAAATACCAATGACATTTATCACACAAATAGAACAAAAAAATCCTAAAATTTATGTGGAACCACAGAAGGCCCAGAATAGCCAAACCTATCTTAAGCGAAAAGAATAAAACTGGAAGAATCACATTGCCTTACTTGAAATCATACTACAGAGCTAGAGTAACAAAAACAGTATGGTTCCTGCATCAAAAAAGACACATAGACCAATGGAATAAAATAGAGAACTCAAAAGAAATCCACACACCTACAGGGAACTCATTTTCAAAAAGGATACTAAGAACATACACTGGGAAAAAGACAGTCTCTCTAAGGGTAAATAATGTATGGAAAACTGGATATCCACATACAGAAGAATGAAACTAGACCCCTACCTCTCTCCATACATAAAAACCAAATCAAAATGGATTAAAGGCTTAAATCTAAGACTTCAAACTATAAAACTACTACAAGAAAACATTGGGGAAAATCTCCAGGACATTGGTCTAGGCAAAAATTTCTTGAGCAATACCCACAAACACAAGCAATCAAAACAAAAATGGACAAATGGAATCACATCAAATTAAAAGGCTTCTGCACAGCAAAGGATACAAGAAACAAACTGAAGAGACAACCAACATAATGGGAGAAAATATTTGAAAACTACCCATCTGACAAAAGATTAATAACCAGAATACATAAGGAGCTCAAACAATAAAATACATAAGGAGCCCTACAATAAAAAGTCCATTAATCCAATCAAAAATAGGCAAAAGATTTGAACAGTTTCTCAAAAGAAGACATGCAAATGGCAAATAGTCATATGAAAAAGTGCTCAACATTATTGATCATCACAGAAACAAAAAAACTACAATGAAATATTATCTCGCTTTAGTGAAAATACCTTATATCCAAAAGACAGGCAATAACAAATGCTGGCAAGGATATGTAGATAAAGGGAACCCTTGTACATTGTTGATGTGGGAATGTAAATTAGTACAACCACTATGGAGAATAGTTTGAAGTTTCCTCAAAAAACTAAAAATTCAGCTTCCATATGATCCAGCAACCCCACTGCTGGATATATAAGTAAAAGAAAGGACATCAGTATATCTAAGAGATATCTGGACTCCTATGTTTGTTACAGCACTGTTTACAATAACTAAGATTTGTAAGCAACCATTAACAGATGAATTAATAAAGAAATTATGTTATATATATACAATGGACTACTATTCAGCCATAAAAAGAATGAGATCCAGTCATTTGCAAAGACAGATCGAACTGGAGATCATTATGGTAAGTGAAATTAGCCAGGCACAGGAAGACGAACATTGCATGTTCTCACTTATTTGTGGGATCTAAACATCAAAACAATTGAACTCATAGACACGGAGAGTAAAAGGATGGTTCCCAGAGGCTGGGAAGGGTAGTACAGGGATGGGGGCCACGTAGGAGATATTTAGTAGGTACAAAAAAATAGAAAGAATGAGAATGTCCTACTATTTGATAAAACAACAGAGTGGCTATAGTCAATGATAAATTAGTGGTACATTGTAAAATAACATGTATAATTAGACTGTAACTCAAAAGATAAATGCTTGGCAGGGATGGATATCCCATTCTCCATGATGTACTTATTTCACAGTGCATGCCTGTATCAAAACATTTCATGTACTTCATATATATATGTATGTATATATATATATATATATATACACACACACACACACACACACATACTCTCTATCCACAAAAGTTAAGAAAAAAGTTTTTAAAAGGTAGAATACTTACTTAATGAGAATTTTATTTCTAGTCCAGGAAATCTCAGGCTGGGGGTAGGATTCCACTGCACACATGAAAGTAGCCACTTCTTCAACTAAGGCATCCACTGTTTCAAGAGGAGTGGTGATGACAGGAGCTGAAAGGGAAGGATAAATCAAAGAGAATGTTCTAGAATTTTGTGTACTAACCCTTCCTTAAGCCATCAGAAGCCATTACATACTGGAATGAGAATTCTATTTCCCCAGAGTAGAAATTTGCCAAGAGAAAGGAAAAGCTTATGTAAAGAAAGTTGATCCTACTTCCAAACTAGGTATTTGAGAATCAAAAGAGAAGGCCCTCAGGAAAGTAGGGCTTAGAATTTATGATATATATGAGGAGAGGCTGATCCAAGCTTTGTGGGGCCCAAGTTTATGTAATTTGAGTATACTTTTTAAGGAAAAAAAAAATAAAGTTATGAATACACAATTTCTGTGGCCACCCCAATGTCATCAGCATAAAGGAAAGTGAGACTACAGGAAAGTCATGGTGAAAAAGGATAATAATTTTAAAGAATTGTTGTTTAAGAATGATTTTCCCCTAATTTTATGAAAATAGACACTCATATAAACCCAGTGGTAAAGCCCACTGAAGGTCTTATAAAGGGCTTTTGCTAATGAGAGTCTGAAGCTTATGCTTTATCAGATTTGTAGAGAATTCACTTTGGCATACAAATAGAAAAGAAAAAGACACCACTTTGTGAATTATAGACTTTAATGGGTAGAGAGCGTGGTAGGTGAACTCAGTAAAGCTGTTTTGTTCTATTTTATTTTTTTAAAGACAGTTGGAGGAAAGGTTGTAGACATGGTCTCTTCTTTTTCTCACTCTTCTGTGAAATGTAAAACCTTGAGCTTTAGGTCAGGCATCATGTGTTAGACATCTTTTAATTCCCAGGGTGAGCACAGCGAGTGAGATGCATTTAAACAGTAAATTATATAGTCACTTCAGTTAAAGGACAAGGTATATATCAAAACCAAATAAGTATTATGATTGATCTTTAGAGGTGAAATAGTGACAGACTTATAAAGCATCTAGAACAGACTGGCACATTGTTTGGCACATTTATTTATCAATAAAACATTTATGGTTTTATTTCACATTGAAATAACAATAGAAAAAATAATATGTGGACACACTGAATTAAAACTATAAAAATCAAAGATAAAATAACATTGAAATAAAACTATAAAATATCCACTTTCTGAATAAACCATATTATTATTATTTTTGGTAATGTCAAAGGCAAGCTCATCTGCTGACAGTGAGAAAAAATGGTGGGTGGAAGTGTTTACTTGGCCCATATCTCCCATGCTAATTTTGTTTTTTAGGATTCGGTTTGAACATCTATCTCCTTCCACTTTCCTTGATGTGCTAGGCAGACCCAAATGCCCTTTTCCTCAACCTCAGGTTATCCTGTAAATGTCAATCTTATAATGTCATTTGTCACACAGGCACTATTAAAATGATCTGTCTTTGTCCCACATACCTTTACATAACTAAGTAAAAATAACTGTTAGCTTAGAATTCTACAGCCAGCTTAGGTATTAATTTTAAAGTCAGAACTCTTACAAACAACGGTTGAAAGTGTTTACCATTCATAGACTTTCTCTGAAATAGTTAATAGACTCAATAAGGAATAACATATACCAGATAGAAAGGGGTGAGTTATAAAAAAAAAAAAAACAGCGTAAATGGTGGTGAGATATAATTGCAATTTTAACACACTATGGAATATTTTAAAAACAAATCACTAATTTTTGTGTTTAAAGTGGAATTAAATTCAAGACAAGCAATTACAAGATCAAAGTTCACAGAAAAAATTTAAAGTGCTAAGTAGTTTTAAAAAATGCTAATCTCTTTGCCATAAACAACAGCAGGACAGAAATATTGAATAAGTAACTTCAAACAGAAAGAAAATCTATGGTTAAATGCTATGTTAAAACTTTATTAATGGTTACCACTAAAAAAAAGAAATAAAATGCAAAATTTCCAAACAACAGAAAAAAAAGGGACTAGAAAAGCTTTATCAGTCAAAAACAAAAACAACAAGAAAAAGACTAAGCCAAGAAAAAGCATGGTTAACAGAAAGCATAAAATAATATGGAAGAAACAAGTCCAAATATACCAAAAATCACAGTAAGCGCCGGTGATATAAACTGACCTATGAAATGACTGATGCTATCAAACACAAAAGACACACCTAAATAAAATAAAACAGAAATGTTAAAGGGGAGGGAAAATATGTACAAAGCAAACAGTGTCCCAAAGAAAGTAACATAGCAATATTAATATAAGAAAAATGTAATATAAGGGCACATGCATTTATAAAGAAAAATAGAAACATTAATGATAAAAGGAACAAGCCATAAAAAAGTATGACAATTATGAAAATTATTTAAAAATATGGACTCAAACTCAAAAGGAAAATTATCACAAGAGTAAATGGAGAAATGTTTTAGTATAGTGTAAACCTTTAAGAGATCTCCTTCAGACACTAAATAAATCAAACAGAAATACAGTAAAGATATCAAAGATATAAATATCAAAATTAACACTCAATATAATGTATATTTTTAAAACACTTAAAAAATTAGAGAATATATTTTTTTAAATGATGCATAGATGAAACATTCAAACATACAGAAAATATACTAAGCTATATAGGAGATTTTAACCCAGCTTAAATAATTGATTTTATATAGACTATATTTCCTAACCATAATAAAATCTGTAAGAAATAGACAATAAAAAGACAGTAAAACAAACAAAAAGTCCCCATCCTGTTTATAGATCAAAAGACAAAAATATAATTACATATGTAGTAAAACAGAAAAACAGAATTAGTAAAATTAATTAAACAGATATGCACATAAACTCTAAGCCCTGATAGGTTGACACACATTTTCAAATGCTCATGAAAACTAAAGATTAAATAAAATTCAAAAATATAGATTATATGTCACATTCTTGGATCACAATTCAACAGAACTAAACAGTAATGAATATTTAAAAACCCAAATCCAAAGAATTAAGAATTTTGAAGACAAAATTGTTCTAAATCATTCAAACATCAAAAAGGAAATTAAACTGGAATTAAAAACATGAAAAACTACATATCAACATGTAGTAAAGGTTGTGGTGAAATAATTAACAATATTCACAGAAGAAAAAGATTATCAAAGAACACTTCTGAAAAAAATATAATATCCCAAAGTTTTTCAGGTAAGTTTTAAAAAACTTTTAAGAAAGAATTAAGTCTCAAGTTATAAAAAGCTACAAGGAGCCAGATGCAGTGACTCATGCTTGTAATCTCAACACTTTGGGAAGCTGAGGCAGGAGAATCCATTAAGCCCAGGAGGATCCATTGACCCCAGATGTTTGAGACAAGCCTGGGCAACATGGCAAGACCACATCTCTACAAAAAATACAAACAAACAAAAAAATAGCTGGGTATAGGTGCTGCACATCTGTAGTCCCAGCTACTTGGGAGCCTGAGGTAGGAGGATCACTTGAGACCAGGGGTCAAGGCTGCAGTGAGCCATGATTACACCACTGCACTCCAGCCTGGGTGACAGGGAAAGACCCCATCTCAAAAAGAAGCAAGCAAAAGCTATAGGGAATATAAAATATAGAAAGCTTCTCAAGTCAGTCTTTGGAATAAAACAATGCTGATGTAAGTCAAGCAGGATGTAAAGCCCTAGAGTAAAATTTTAAAAAGCAAATTAAATTCAATCACATATTTCAAAATTACAACTATACATTTAGACAGAAAAAACTCTCACAAAAATGTAAGGATAATTTAATAGAAAAGTCCTTTAAACAGGATTTACTATAGTCATAGTTTAAAAGATACCTATTGCAGTCAAAAAGGCAGTGGCAGAATTAACTATCCATTCCCTACTTAAAAACCATTTCTAAAGTAGGAATATAACAGTATTTCTTTAACATGATAAAAAATATTTCTCAACCACTGAGATTGATGAAACTAGGAATATAAAAAACTACACAAAACATTCACACACATTCACAGGATGATTCAAATTTGGCTTGACGCAGTGGAGAGAAAATGGTGTTCCACACAGAGAAAATGGTGCATGTGAAAGCCTGAAGACAGTGGGAAGTTGGTGCCCTAAGCCAGTTCCAGGAAGACACAGACATTTATAAAAGATGGGGAGGAGAATGAAGAGTTTAGAAGAGAGACTGAGAGGAAGAAACCAGAGTTGTAAGCAAAGCCAGCAGAGGCTGTTGGCAGAGCCCAAGAGTAGCACACATTTCACAAAAGAGGGAGAATCAAATGCTGCCAAGAGGTTTTTTTTTTTCTTTTAATTATACTATAAGTTCTGGGGTACATGTACAGAATGTGCAGGTTTATTACATAGGTATACACGTGCCATGGTGGTTTGCTGCATCCATCCCCCGATCAGCTACAGTAGATATTTCTCCTAATGTTATGCCTCCCACCCTCTGCTATACCTGCCCTACCCCCTCAGCCCCCAACAGGCTGCCATGTGTGATGTTCCCCTCCCTGTGTCCATGTGTTCTCATTGTTCAACACCTGCTTATGAGTGAGAACATGTATGTGGTGGTTGGTTTTCTGTTCTTGTGTCAGTTTGCTGAGAATGGTGGTTTCTAGCTTCATCCATGTCCCTGTCCCTGCAAAGGACATGAATGAATCATTTTATATGGCTTCATAGTATTCCATGGTGAATATGTGCCACATTTTCTTTATCCGGTCTATCATTAATGGACATTTAGGTTGGTTCCAAGTCTTTGCTATTGTGAACAGTGCCGCAATGAACATACATGTGCATGTAGGATGACTTTGGGTATATAGCCAGTAATGGGATTGTTGGGTCAAATGGTATTTCTATTTCTAGATCCTTGAGGAATTGCCACAGTGTCTTCCACAATGGTTGAGCTAATTTACACTCCTACCAACAGTGTAAAAGTGTTCCTATTTCTCCACATCCTCTCCAGCACATGTTGTCTCCAAACTTTTTAATAATCACCATTCTAACTGGCATGAGATGGTATCTCAATGTGGTTTTTATTTGCGTTTCTCTAATGACCAGCAATGGCAAGCTGTCTTTCATGTTTGTT